AGGAGGAGGAGGAGGAGGAGGAGGAGGAGGAGGAGGAGGAGGAGGAACAGGAGGACAGGAGGAACAGGAGGACAGGAGGAACAGGAGGACAGGAGGAAAAGGAGGAGAAGGAGGAAAAGGAGGAGAAGGAGGAAAAGGATGAAAAGGAGGAAAAGGAGGAAAAGGAGAAAAAAGAGGAAAATGAGGAAAAAGAGGAGAAGGAGAAAAAGGAGGAGGATGATGATGAGGAGGAGGAGGGTTCGCCGTGCTGGTCCCGGGTGTGCTGGGTATAGGCCCCAGCTGGCGCATCTACTCCTCCTCGGGGGCGGCCGCCGCTAACCGGTGGGCTGTGCCTGGGGTGGGGGGTCGCGCCGGCTCCCGACCATCGAACACTCTCGGCAAAAGCACCCCGCGTGGCGTGAGGAGGAGGAGGAGGAGGAGGGAGATGGGAGGAGGAGGAGGAGAGGAGGAGGGAAGGGGAGGGGAAGGGGAAGGGGAAGGGGAAGGGGAAGGGGAAGGGGGCAGGGGCGCTTCTCAGGGGTCGGGGGGGGAGGCGCGAACGCTTGCTGGTGCAATCGGGAAATGGCGGGGTTTTCAAAGGCTTTCGGAGGCGACTGGCGGTCAGGTGGTCGCATGCGTTGGCGGGCAGCAGGGGCTCTTCTAGGGGGCCACATGCGAACCCTACCCCTACCCCCCACGATTTCTGAGGGGGAGGGTGGGGTAGGCTCCGCTCAGAAATCCCCACCCTCCCCCTCAGAAATCGTGGGGGGTAGGGGTAGGGTTCGCATGTGGCCCCCTATCTTCGCATGTGGCTCGCGCCTCGCCGCTGCCGCCGCGAGAGGCGGGGCGCACTGTGAGGAAGAGGAGCCCTGAGGCCAGAGGTCCTGAGACTTCTGCTTTCACGCGTTTTCGTGGGTTCCGGGCTGTGCTTGTGAGGCTCGTGTTTCGTGCTAGACGCTAGTCGGCCGCATTGGGCATCTCGCTTCTCGGTCCTCCTTGTCTCTCTCTCTCTCTCGTCTCCCCGTCCTCCTCGTCCTTTTCGGTTTGGTTTGGCGTTGTGGAGTACCCTTGCCATAAACAAATGTTTCCTGGATTCTAGGATGTTCCTCCAGCCTCGGGATGTTTTCCAGCACCTGCGCCTCGCCGAGGGCGATCCAGGTGCCCGAATCGTCCGATTCTTTTGTCAGAGGCTCGAGTTATGACCCGAAATCTTGGCAGAGAGGCGACTCAGGCTTTCGGATGTCTGCTTGCTTGCTGTTTTTTTTTCTGGAAGGGAGTAAGGGTGTCGGGGCCCTTTGCTTGCTTCTTGTTTTGGCGGCCTTGGCTTTGCTCTATCTGCGGGCTTTCTGGGGGCACCTTGAGAGAAGCCCTGGGGCTCCCCCGATCCCCCCCCGAGGCTCCGACGGGGCTTCTAGCGGCTGCGGGGAGCAATTCCTGAACGGACTATTTGCCGCCGACCCCCGGGTCCCAAGCATTGAAAAGTCCAGGGAGGCATTGCGGAGTCGGGACAGGCCTCGGCGAGTTCTGCGTAGTTTCGGAAGGCATCGAGCGGCCAGCGGAGTCTTTGGGACCCCCTACGAGTCTGTGAGACGCCCTGGGAAGCCCTCGCGGACTGGACGGTTCCAGGGAGCCATGAGCGAGCTTGCTATCTTGAGGCCATTTTGTGGATACATTGGGACAGCTTCGGGGCCTTCTCGGACAATTTCGGGGCCTCTCGGAGGCATCTTAGGGCTCCCGAGGCTGGGGTCTGCGTGGGTCCCTGGCGGCGGGGGCGTACCGAAGCAGAAATTTAACGCATCACCCGGCATTGTCGTTCGGGGCTGTGCTCCGCGCGGGGCTTTGGCGGCGGCGGCGTACCAAAGCAGAAATTGAACGGAATACTCGTCAATTGGCGTTCGGGGCAGTGTTCCGCGTGGGGGCCTGGTGGCAGGGGCGCGCCAAATCAGAATTTGAGAGCAAGATTCGTCATTGTCGTGCGAGGCCGTGTTTTGTGCGGGGTCCCGGCGGCGGGGGCGCGCCGAAGTATACGTGCGGGGTCCCGGCGGCAGGGGCGCATTGCAGCCGAAGTTGAACGGACTCTTCGGCATTGTTGTTCGAGACGGATCGAGACGGTGCGTTGCGCGGGGGCCTGGCGGCGGGGGCGCACCGAAAGGGAAATTACACAGATTTGGTTCATCGTGTTCGTTCGGAGTTTTTGTCCGTTTGCTGTTTCAGTGCTTTCGTCAAGGGGGTTTGAACATGCGTCACGTTGTCGTTTGCTTACTTGATGATTTGAATGGGTTGATGTTTGAAATTATTGTTGCCTGCTTGCTTTTTCGCGGTCCTTCTTGAGGGGTCGGATTTTGCATTGATCTTGCTTCTTGATTTCTTGACGAGCCTTCGTGCGCAGAGTCGCCTCCCTAGTTTTTGACTGTCTGTCGCCGCCTTTCTCTGGGGTCTCCCAGAGGCTTCTCGCCGCGACGGCTTGATTCCCACTCGAGATCCTGGTCGCACCGCACCCCGAAACAGGTCTGGGGGCCGA